AATATAATGGTCTTGAAACATCAGCCTGATGCTTTCATGGTACTCTTTGACACTGTCATTTTAAGGATGGAGTCTAGTACAACCCAAGCTTAGAAATATTTAAAAAGCATCATATCAAAATGGCATGAGGATCATTCGGGTCAATTTTTGCTTAAATAAAAAGTGATGTCATTGTGAATTTAACTGAAAAGTATTCCCATTCAATATCTATGAGCTCTTATTAGGCCATATTGTAAGACATATACTAAAAGTACAGATAAAGTACTGTTAGAAATTGATAAAGAGATAGAAAACAAAATGCAGAATAAATAGTAAATTTTCACCGTGGCGAAAGATTAACAGAGGAGTGCCTTAAGGATCTGTGTACTATGACGTGGTGTTTACTATGTTTATTAACAAAATGGAAAACAGGGTGAGCAATAAGGTGACAACATTTGCAGATGACACAAAATAATTTAGGCCACTTGAAACTAGAGAAGACTGAAGAATTTCAGAAGGATCTAACAAATGTAGGCAGCCAGACATTATGATAGCAGATGAAATTTACTGCTATCAACTGCAAGATAATGAACTTTGGAAGGAACAAGTTAACTGCTCTTAACCATTGCTGAGTTCTAAATTAATTGTAACCACTCAGGAAAAATACTTGATCATCATGGACAGCTCAGTGAAAATCTCTGCTTAATGTACAGCAGCAGTCAAAAAAGTAAATCATGTTAGAACATATAAGGAAGTGGATAGAAAATAAATAGGAGTTCTATTTTGGGGGGTTTATTAATTTCATTTTGGGATGGGTTATTTTTAACAATTTTGAGTTTTATGTAGATGTCCAAAAACTAGTAGTTTGGGGGCTTTCTATTTGTAATACAGTGTAATGAGTAATCTCTTTGTAACGTTCCTTAGTGCACTTCAACATAACACTGTTTCAAACAGCACTATGTTAAAGCACACTAAGGGTATGTCTACACTACCCACTGGATCGGCAGACAGCGATCAATCCAGTGGGGATCGATTTATCGCGTCTCATCTAGACGCGATAAATCGACCACAAAGCACTCTCCTGTCGACTCCTGTACTCCACTGCCACGAGAGGCGCAGGCAGAGTCGATGGGGGAGCGGCAGCAGTCGACTCACTGTGGTGAAAACACCACAGTAAGTCGATCTAAGTACGTCGACTTCAGCTACGTTATTCATGTAGCTGAAGTTGCGTAACTTATATCGATCCCCCCACTAGTGTAGACCAGGCCTTAGGAACGGTTAGTGCACACCATCTGGGTCTACACAGATCAATTAATTTGCAATGCATTAGTGCACTTCAGAAATCACACTCCCATAATCCACACTACTGCTCCGTGTCAACTAGACAAACACTTAAATACAAATAACCATTTCCAGTGTTTTCCTGGTGTTTATTGGATAAACAGTTATTCATAGATTCTAGGGCTGGAAGGGACCTCAAGAGGTCATCGAGTCCAGTCCCCTGCGCTCATGGCAGGTCCAAATACTGTCTAGATCATCCCTGATAGACATTTATCTAACCTATTCTTAAATATCTCCAGAGATGGAGATTCCACAACCTCCCTAGGCAGTTTTTTTCCAGTGTTTAACCACCCTGACAGTTAGGAACTTTTTCCTAATGTCCAATCTAAACCTCCCTTGCTACAGTTTAAGCCCATTGCTTCTTGTTCTATCCTTAGGGGCTAAGATGAACAAGTCTTCTCCCTCCTCCTTATGACACCCTTTTAGATACCTGAAAACTGCTATCATGTCCCCTCTCAGTCTTCTCTATTCCAAACTAAACAAATCCAATTCTTTCAGCCTTCCTTCATAGGTCATGTTCTCTAGACCTTTAATCATTCTTGTTGCTCTTCTCTGGACCCTCTCCAATTTCTTCACATCTTTCTTGAAATGCAGTGCCTGGAACTGGACAGAATACTCCAGTTGAGGCCTAATCAGCGCAGAGTAGAGCGGAAGAATGACTTCTCATGTCTTGCTCACAACACACCTGTTAATGCATCCCAGAATCACGTCTGCTTTTTTTTTGCAACAGCATCACACTGTTGACTCATATTTAGCTTGTGGTCCACTATAACCCCTAGATCCCTTTCTGCCATACTCCTTCCTAGACAGTCTCTTCCCATTCTGTATGTGTGAAACTGATTGTTCCTTCCTAAGTGGAGCACTTTGCATTTGTCTTTATTAAACTTCATCCTGTTTATGTCAGACCATTCTCCAATTTGTCCAGATCATTTTGAATTATGACCCTATCCTCCAAAGCAGTTGCAATCCCTCCCAGTTTGGTATCATCTGCAAACTTAATAAGCGTACTTTCTATGCCAATATCTAAGTCATTGATGACTTCTTTCTCTCTTACTTTCTTAAATCAAGGGTGCTATGGTTTCATTCATAGATAAACCAATTTTATGACCACATCTAATATACTGTATTCAGTCCTGGTCATCTTCTCTCAAAAAAGATACTGCAGAAATAGATGGGTCCAGAGATGGTAATTTAAATGTTTAGATGAAAACTTTTAAATTGAAAAGATTAGGACTGTGGTTTAGAGATGAATAAAAGGAAACATGAGAGAGAGAAAATAAATTATGGTATACAGAAGGTAAATTGTGTGTTCCTATTTATCCTTTCTCCTGGATAAAGGGACATTTATACAACAAGGGACATTAAATAAAATTTAAATTTAAAACAAATAAAAGTAAACTCTTCCCCTCAATGCATAATTAATCTGTGGAACTCATTGCTACAAGATGCATTTGAGGCCAAGAGCTATCCTGTGAGAACGTTATTCCATAATTGTCCACTATAGTGCTTCTTGTATCTTTCTCTGAAGGTTCTGGACTGGTACTGGCCACTCTCATCTATGGGATACTGGACTAGATGGGCAAGTGGTTTGCCTTGCTATTAGAATTCCAATGTTCCTAAATTCAGTCTTGGATTCCACAGCCCAACATAAAAAAGATGCACATTTCACAAAAGAGAATACTTTCCACTCCATAATGTTATGTAATAGGTGTGTTTGTGTCTAAAAATATTCTATAGCCGAAAGGGATCATAAAAGACTAGCTACATTCCAAGATACCTGCCAATGGGCGGTTTTGTTTTAGGGTTGTTGGTTTTTGTTTTAATCCCTATAGGTAGTTGATCATAAACCAGACCTGGGGATCGGATTATAATAATAATTCTTTGCCCCTTTCATATGAGGATCTCAAACCACTGGAACGAGATTAATTAATAATTAGCCTCATAAACACCCTTATGAATTAGATATTATTAAACTGAGGCACTGAGAAATTGTGCCACTTTCCCAAGGTCACACAGCAAATCAATGGCAGAGCCAGTTATAGCACTCAGGATTCCACCTGACACCTACTCATCTTCTCTAACCACTAGGTCACCTCCTTTCAAAATACAATTTCTTTCTTATTCCTCTAGAAGATGTTTTTATCATGCAGCCATCCTAGACTCAGCTCCCATCTCTGTATGTACAAAAAAGTGACGTGTGACCAAAATTTTTTCAGATGTGAAAAATCTGTGTTTCTTACAGTGTGCATTTTAAGTAAATAGTGGAGAGCTGGAGTTGGTCTGAATGTGTTGTATGTGCACCAGGTTAGAAGCAGTGCTTCTCAGGGACTGGCAATCACTTAAAGCCATATTCTGTCTTGTGTATGCAGACCTGTCCTCTGGAAATCTATTGGACCCACATGTGCACAGCCAAGGACAGAACATGCCTCTGATGGGGTTTTTGGAATCTTTTCAGTAAGAATCACTGTATAAGTCCGCAAACATTATTGCTAATAATGAACTCAGAGCCTGAGCACAAAGCGCAAAGCAAAACTCCTATTGATCTCAACAGGGTATGAATCAAGGCTCTATATCCTATGCCTAGTGAGTGCTCTAGCATTAGCATCATCACTGTAATGACTTCACACCTGTTTTCAGTGGTCCAATAATTAGGTTTTAAATTTCCATATAATTATTTAAAGCAACAATCAAAGAATGCTTCTTAGCCAGCTTGGCTTTGCCATTGGTATATTTGTATACTGACTGGAAGCTGGAGTTGAGTTACAGATTGCAAGGTCATGATGATATCAGCTTCTTGGCACAAAATTTTGGGTACAGTGGCAGAAATGTCAGTTCCCCTTCCAGTTTCAGTATGGAAAACAATAAATTAATTTGATACATAATCTTGTTAGAGTTTAATATATTGGTACATTTAAACATGCCATTGTTTTTCCCCAGTTCAGATCATTTTAGTTTTTGCAATATTTATTAATAATTTTCAGTGTTGGAGGGCTCATCTGGAGACACTTCAGAGGGGTCTGATTTTCAAAAGATGGGCACTCATCACTTTCTGAAAATGAGGTCTCTCTAAGATACCTAAAATTACTGGTCACTTTTGTCACTCACTAATATTAATAATATATTATTATTTTGCCTGATGGCTTTGACTAGTGACCTTCAACTCATTCCATTGTGTGGTGTCACTTTTATAAGAAAGGAGCTAGGGGAGGTACTGGATGACTCAAAGAATTGGTAAAGACTAAGATTTACCAATTTTACCTCTAAGATGCTGCACAGAATTTCTCTCAGAACACTAGTGACTAAAATGTGAATGAGTTGGTGGTTTTAACCCAGTTCCTAGTGAACAAATGTGCACAGAGCTCACAACATCCTCCCAACTGGTTCCCTTGTGGCAGTCTCAGCAGAAGGACCAGCAACTGAATGGACAGTTGAATAATCTCTCCAGGTCAGGGTTGAGGCAAATCAGCTGACTGCCATGGCGAATATTTGCATTTCTACTCTATCTGTTCTATGGCTAAAGAAGACTTCAGTCTCCTGCACCATTCATGAGCCCTTCAATCATTAAGGGGAAAGAAAAACTAAATTAACTAAATAAGGGCAATTTAGAGAGTATTGGTTTAATGCTATATGCACTTACTCTACCTCTAAAACTTACCAGGAATCTTGTTTTTCTTTTGCAGCCTAATTTAGGTGGAGTGATGTACGTAGGTTCTCCTGCACCCACTGGCTCTGTTCTACAGAAGTACTTTGTCAATTCACCTTACATCTTCAGTCTACCAACCCCGACTTCTTTTACACCCACCACTTTCTCTAACTTCTAACACAGGATCTATGAATAGGAGTGTGTGTAGGAGGGGTGGGGGAGCTCCTTAATGCTCTGCAGCAAAAATAGTAATATGTAGGTCATTGCTTCAGGGAACGAAGAGAGTAGGTTGTTGAGTGACACTATAGAATTTAAATATTGTTTCTGTGTAGACTGATATGTACCAGAAAGTTTGTTTCACTGACTATTATCATTACATTTTTTATTGATTATATATTTGGAATAACTGATAATAGGGTGTATATAATATGTAAAACATTATATAGAGAGTGTATACTATATATAATGTTTTACATATTATTTATATAATCATTCTGTGTTTGGGCGGGGGAGCATTTAACTACCAAAGCAAAAACCTTTAAAAAATAACCATCTATTTTGGTTGCACAGGGGAAAAAGATGTTTAAAAGTATCTGCAATGTAATATTTCTTATACTGTAATGATTTATTTCCCCCCTTTTACACAACTATCAAATCCAGTGGCGGCAGCTGACATATGAAAATGGGTAGGCAAAGTTGGCCCACAAAGGTGTCCTCGAGGCCAGCAGTGGGTAATGATCATACTATAATGGAATCAAAATAAATGACTGTCCTGGTAAGAAGGTTCCATTGGTCAAATCTATCCCCAGGACAGTGTTCATGTTAACTAAAGATGAGTTTTAGATGCAAAAGGCAGATCCTAACTTGCTTCAGATTTGGGAATGTTGACATGCTGGCTTTTGATTCAGCCAATTACAAGGATAGGAGTCTGCTTTAAAATTTTGGATCCATATATAGATGCAAATGTCCTCAAAATTTGGCATGTTTGGATTCAAGTTTAATTTCATTTCCATCTCCAGTGAAAACAGGGAGAAACTTACCCATAACTTCTTCCACAGACATCCATCTCTTTTATACCGTTTTAAAATCTAACCTAAGTTGGGGATATTTTCCCACTGCCTGGATTATAAAATCACAAGTTATGAATACATGAATAACTCCCACCAAAAACAGCCTTCCAGAGCCTTTCTCAGTAGCCTGGTGGAGAGATATTGCCTGACATTGAGGAGCAGTGTCTGGTTTCCTGTTTACTAGATGGTAGAAAATGAAGGAAGAGTTTGTGAAGTTGGAGGCTGCATCCCCAGGGGAGTAATGCTGACCTACTAGCTCTTTAGATTGTAATGGTCAATCGGTGTAGCTACAATAACAATCAAAGAAGAGAGGTTCACAAGCTGTGAGTTGGGACCTCCAAGAGGTGAGGGGAAAGTCAGCTGAAATTGTCTGGGATGAGGTGAATGAGTTCCCAGTCCCTGTCTTCCTTTGAAGTCAGATTTTTCTAAGCCACTTGCATCTGGGTACTCCTCAGATTTTACCATCCTGAGTCTCACAGGGTGGCCTACTTTGAAGGCCCCAGAGAGGATACTCAGATGAGTCTGGGGAGGAGAAGTTGTGTGGGTGTAATCCATGCCTGCTTGGTGTGGCACTCTGTCCCCCTCTAGTGGCAGCTAGCCCAAAGAGGGATTGACGAGTCTGCTACAGCCTTGGCAATTAGCCACGTGGCTTTTAGCTCATTCAGTAGAGGTTCATACACTAAGCTTCAGTGGTCCCAGGTTCAATCCTGCCCACAAATGACCTGGGTCTGTTGGCATTACACATGGCAGATGAAGAAAAGTAGCCCATTGCAGAATGAAGTTTGGGACCTGGGAGCCAAAGAGAATTAAAGAAACCAGTTCTCCATTTTTCAAGCATTCGTTGGATTTGTACTTGTCATACCTCACAAGGGTTCTGAGACTCATTTTTCTCTGTGGCCTTGGACAAGTCATTTTATCCCTCTTTGCCTCTATTTCCCCATCTATAAAATCCCACCTCACAGGGAGTAGGTTGTCTTAATTATTTGTTTGTAAAGTATTTTGAATGTCAAAAAGTTCTGTATTAATTCTAAAGCCCAGCTCATCCCACTGTTATCTATTCAAGGACTGGACCCAAACAGGTCTCCATGGATGGGGGGAACTTAAGTGGTTCGATAGCACTGTCCATCCCCGGGGACCCTCAGAAGATGCTTTGTAGGACCAGGATCCATGAAGGGGAGAGGAAGGGTGGGGGCAGGCTAGGGGAGGAGTTGGTGGCTCATGACTGTGGTGACACCAATCATCCCCTGTCTGACCTTACGGAGATTCCTGAAAAGGTAACCCAGCCCTCAGGCTGTATATTATATATTCTGTGGAGCTCCTCTCTCCTGATAGAACAACGTAGAGGGATCTCTGTGACTTGATGCTCATGGAAATTTCTTCTCCTGAGCTCAATCCCATGGGTTTTACCTTGGAAGAGGACAATCTATCCGAACATTATCAGAGAACCACATCTGTCCGAGCCCCAGGATTCCCAGCTCCATATAACCAATGGTCTTCATAGGTTCATGGCTCACAACCTAAGAGGAAACAGCTATTTTATGCCAATTAATGTTTCTTCCTATTGCCTTTTATAAACATTAAACACTGAGTTTGTCCTTACCATAGTAAACCCTCTTGCCAGATGCTGAGATGATGTTGAAATCAGTGGGAAATGCAGGTGCTGAGCACCTCTCAGGATCAGACCCCATACACTGAGGCACTGATGCATGAATGCAATTGGAAAAAAGGACCTAGAAACAGGTTTCCCATAATCCTTTGCAAATATATGAGGCCCATTTTTTGGGAACTGGCTTAGCTGATAATCAAAGAGAACCTGCTTGACTTCTGTAGTGCAGAGAGAGCCACTTGGATGCTTTGTTAATTCCTCAAAAGACATCAAGAAAAAGTTTGGTGCCCAGCCTTCAAGTCACATCTGCTTGCGCTGTACTTTTCATTATGCTGTATTCACAGTCTCTGGCTTGTCTGGCCTTTTTTTGGTCTGTCAAATTACTACTGTCTTATGGAAATCAATAAACATAATTTTAAAATCTTCATTGTTCAGTAATTATTATTACAATGTATAAATAATGCCTTGGGAAATGATTTCTAAAAATATATATTATTTCATCTAGAGGGATTTATTTTGTTTTTCTCATAAAACTTCCTACTTTTTATAATAAAATACATCTGCTTATTAGCAAAGGGCCAGATCCTGGAAACACTTACTACCTGGTGCTGTTCTTACTACAGAGAGTACAGGCTACTGCAAGGGAAAAGAAAGGAGAGTCAAGAAGAGAGTGATAGGACAGACCCAGTTAATCCCTACATGGTGGCCCCCGGTGCCATTTTATAACCATGTTCATTTCTCATGCAAAGCATAGCTAATAACACAGTGAAGCACAGTTTGCAATTGCTGAGTTTCGTTCAGCTCCAGCAGTGACCCTAGGACAGCGCCTCTGTTGGCTACTTAGATTGTAAACTCTTTGGGGGCAGGGACCATCTTTTTCTTCTGTGTTTGTGCAGCACCTAGCGCAGCACGTCCTGGTTCATGGTTAGAGCTCATAGGTGCTCCAGTAAGACAAATAGTAATAATACTTCTCAAGTGCAGAGTGGGGGAAACTAGCTCATTGTTGAGCCTAAGGCAGCTTTCCATTGGTGTCTCTTTGCTTGTTTTGTGCTGTTTATGAAGGATAGTGCATGGGAGGAGGGAATTGGCCTTGACTACACCCAGGGGCAGCTCTAGACACCAGCAAAGCAAGCACGTGCTTGGGGCAGCCCATTTGCAGGGGCGGCAGCCGGGGGATCCAGCCTGGGAGCTGAGAACCAACAGGAGGCCCTGGGAGCTGTAGTTCCTTGGTTAGCTCCCTGCCTATAGAGCCAGCCCTGGAGCAGGGAAAGAACTACATTTCCCAGCATTCCCTTGGCCACTACCAACAGGAAAGAGGGGGAGGGAGTGAGGAAGCTGAGACCTCATACTGCAGCCTGCTTTGAATAGAGAGCTGCACTGTGAGTAGGGATACCATATTTTAACATTCAAAAAATAGGACACTCCACAGGGAGGGAGGGTAGCCCCACCCTGCCACCATCCACTCCCTCCGACTGCCCCCCACAGAAACCCCAACCCATCCAACCCCCCTGCTCCCTGATCACCCCCTCCTGGGACCCCTGCCCCAACTGCCCCCCAGGACCCTACCCCTATCTAAGCCCCACTAGTCCTTGTCCCCTGATTGTCTCCTCCTGGGACACCACCCCCTATCTAAGCCTCCCTTCTCCTTGTCCCCAACTGCCCCCTCATGAGATGCCCCCAACTTCCCCCCTAGGACCCCACCCCCTACCTGTCCCCTGACAAACCCCTGGGACTCCCATGCCTATCCAATTGCTGCCTGTCCCCTGACTGCCCCCCCGAACCCCTGACCCATCTAACCCCCCCTTCTCCCTGCCCCTGACAGCCCCCCCGAACCTCCGCCCCATCCAACCCCCCCTGCTCCCTGTCCCTTGACTGCCCCCCCCTGGAACCCTCTACCCCTTCTCCAACCCCCCAGCCCCCTTACCATGTCACTCAGACCAGCGTGTCTGGCTTCGCGCAGCGCCAGACACGCT